AATATTACGAGCCAAACGTTTTCTTTTCTTTGCGATTTATCTTCGAGTTTGTGACAGTAATTCTGTTATAATGAGACGGATTCAATTTGACGCCGTCAATACATCGTTTTGTCTACACTCTCTATTTGCCTGTAAAATTAAGAAGTGACATTACATGACCTGGAGGCGACCAGATCAGATGGCGTTCTGGTTTAGGAATTTAGTGACTGCTTATGGTCTCGTGATGCTATGGTAGCCAAAATTTTCTTCAGCAATTTCAACTTGGTCGTACGGCAAGTTGAAATCCCGCTCAGGCCACTTGCTGGATCTGAACTAATGGGCGAACTTGTTACACTCTTTTTTAATATGGAATGTTGTTTTTCCGGGCCAGGCTGAATACCGTATTCTTATTTTTCTGCCTATTTTAGCCTGAAAATATTCTTGTAGTATTCTTGAATTATAATTGAAAAAGAAAGAATTTATCATAGCCTTTTCATGGTTTGTTCATTTATTTTTTTGCTGTATACTGTAGATATGTATTTCAATCATGTACCATTCATCGAACTGTCATTACTTGATACGGGTTAAAAACATATTTTTTAGATTTTAATCACTCAAAATAATCATCCTTTTCGAAATCTCAGCTTCGGGTTTATTCTTAAAATATTCTTGAAATTTTGCAAATTTCAGCCTCGCTATTCTTCTATAATATATTCTTAGAGAAAAAAAAGAGTGTAATAATGCACAGCGAATCTCTGTCTTTTTTTGTGAAATGAAATCAGGCAGGCGCTTTATTCATTCATTGTACACTCTTTACTGTAGCCTGCGAGCGGCAGACGTTTCTGCTTGCTCATCGCCGCTGAGGGACGTTTCAGAGGAGGAACGTTACTGCCTCTTTTGTCACTACGTTGAAATAATTATTAGCAGCAAGTACCTTTTCTGTCACCAAGCAGTCAACGACGAATAAAATTGTAAGTATCAGAAACTTTTTATCCTATCTCCAAATATCAAAACCGCTTGTGACGAGTCTCCAAATCTTTCTTGAGTCTCAGATGTGAACTTTTTGAGATTTTTCAAGCAAGGTTTTTGTGTCTCGGATTTTACTATTTTCTTGCATTCAGTTACATGTACTTCGGACCGTGACAAAAACTGAACCAAACACTGAGTACCATTTGTGGAGAGGGGATAACGGGACAGAATATAATGGAATCGCCCAGTCTAACCCTTGGTACGGTTATGTGTATTTCACCAAAGTTGCAGTCAACTCCCTTTATTGAGGACACTGTAGGGACCTCGAGTTAGTATCCTCATTAGCGACAGTCCGTAATAGCGGGAGTTTATTTCAGTCAAACGTCTGTTATTTATTTTTGCCCGGGATTCAGCTTCTGTCCGTATTATCGGAGTGTCCATTATAGCAGGGTGTCCGCAAGGCGAGCGTTGACTGTAGCGGGAGTTGATATCAGTCAAACGTCAGAAACGTCTGTAATTTATCCCGGGATTCAGCTTCGATCAGCTGCTGTCCGTATTGTCGGGGTGTCTGTTAAAACGGGGTGTCCGTAAGGCTAGAGGTGACTATACTTCCCTGTAACAGCGATTTGTTTTTCGATAAATTCTAGGAAGACGGACTTGAACTTGACCATTGGTTAATAAAGGTTAAATCCTGAACAAAGATAACTATGAAGGATATCTAGACACGTTTATCTTACGTGCATAAAAATGCAAGTTAGGAAAACCAACGTTTTTGGTTCCGTTAACTTCCGGATCAACTCTTTCATGACTTCTCGTGAATACCTCAAGAGTTTCCTATTATTGGTTGATTATCTTCCATTCGTCAGAACAAACGCAAGTTTGTAATAATCTGTTACTATTTTAGTACCTATACACTTTTCCGGGCTATCAACAGTTTGATCTTGTTTCAATCAACAGCCGAAATCATTCAATACTCGCGTGTACGGCTTCATTCGCCAAGTCGCGCGCTGCGTTAAGTTTGCTTCAAATACTGTACAATGAGCGAAACGCGCTCGAAATTAATCACATTTTACTCCGTTTCCTGACCGCTATTTGGGTCGCTGTGATATTAATCGTTGTATTTACTCGCATACGACAGCGCATTAGCAAGCAAGGTGAACATACACGCCGGATGGACTCATCAAGCTTCAATTCCACGAGAGTATATCAGTGGTATTCTTAAATGATAGGTAACTGCAAATTCTTCGTTAATTCTAATTATCCGTTAGGGTAAGGCTATTTTAGGTACCAGTGCAACAAGTCTTGATCACGGGACTGGCGTTTCCAGTTCAGCCAGTCCTCATTACGTCGTCGGTCGGATAATATAAAGCCTCACGAACTGAAGCAACCTCAGACGCGATTATCCGCTGATCGAGATATGTTACGAATTCGCGCGCGCCTTGTCGGCAAAAAGAACTAGAAACTTCGCAGACACCATTAATAGCATTTTTACATCACATTGGCACCTTTGCATTTTCACTGAGATCCCTTGACATATTACAGAAGAGATTACAGACAAAACTTCCTACTAGTCATACCGATATACCTTGATTTCCGTATCTTCGCTTTTATCGCATTATAAAGGTTTTATTTTCCTGGGAACGAGACAGTTTCACGCTCACAATGTTCTACTACTTGCTTTGATTATAGGTTGTTTAGAGATTCGACTGTAACTCTTATATGCTGGTTGTTATCACGTAATTCTTCTTTGGAAAAGAGCGTTTTGGGTTTCAGCGGGTTTGAAATGCAGTTTTTATTTATTTTAGTGTAGTGATAATGACAGCTGAGAATAACAAAACTTTTTTGGTACTGTTCTTCTGCTGTACAAGACGGCTCTAATTTTTGGGTCTATAGAGGAGAAAATTTTTATGGACGATCATAAATACGGACAAGCAAATAGCAAAGGAATTAGGAATTCTGCCATAATAGCATCTATGAAAAATGTGATAATCACCTCATTACAAAAAAAAACTTAAAATTACACGTTAATCAATCCCCTGTTGAAAAAGGTAAACCATGCCGTCGACATTTCGAGTTCGCGAAATATCAAGAGCGATCCACGCGCACACGCGTGGTCTGCGCGAGAGATTAGAGACATTTCAGTTATGCCCTGTTGCTGTTTTTCAAATGTTTCCTTTTTCAATAGGTCTCTGTTGTGTTGGTGAAGGCTCGCGCGCTCAAGTCACGGCTCACCCCAATGTAGCACGTCAAACTGCGTTTAATTATTCGAGCTCTTGTTAATATATTAACAAAGTAAAACCACGGGGTGGAAGTTTAAAAAACGAAAACAAACACTGCAAAACAAATACTTGCCATCAAACCGAGTGTAAAATATCAGGCGATTTGGTGAAAGGACTGCCACTCGAAAATACCCGAGCTGGCTTAATTGTCTTGCTTGACGTATTCATATATATATCACTAATATTTCGTACATCAACAGCAAAACCTGATCTCAGATTTGAACATTTCGAACCATTACCCACAATCAATATTTAACCACAAGTTTCGCTTGACTTCCGACACCTCAGACAACAAGAAAAGTTCATAAACTTAGACTGTGTCCAAAACGTACCAAGATTTCAAAGTGATGACTCATTTATACAGACTTTCGTTTCTATTTTTCCAGAACGAACAGAACAGAACGAATGAAAAAACCATGAAAAACGTATTTCTACAATGCATTATATTATTTCTTTTGGTCTGATGGCCACTAAGGGTCTCGGAAGCGTGCACTTGGCCAATAACTACCTTTTTCTTGACCAATATTTTTGTTAAACACAAATAATTCAATTAACCAGATATCCACTTTTACTGGGATTTTTTCCATAGTGTTAATTTGTTTTTTTTTTTCGAAGTTTCAAAGCTTTCAATTTTCTTAGACTTCTAAAGAGAGGAAGTTGACTTCTGTTTTTATTTTGCATTTGTCCCATTTTTTTCTTCCAAGACAAGTCAAAGCCACTTAGTTTTTTAAGAGCCAGCGAAGAGTATCGCGAAGAATTTCCGGCCCCTTAAAAACTTTCAGTGAGTAACATTAGTTTTTTTTATTCTAAAATAACAATCAAGTAATGAGCTCAGCTTTGATACAAGGAACCAATCAAGGTAAAAAAAATAGTTCATTAATTAACCTCTAATATAAAGTATAAGTTAATTATGGTGTAATGAAAATTTCATTCCTTTTTTTTTTTGTGCCACTTATCGCTTATTTTCAAACTTGGCTTAGCCATGATTGGCTTGCTCAAAACAATAATGTACCTTTCGATAGCGATCCAATAAGAGCAAAATGCTTTTGTTTCACTAGAAGAATAACTTTGACACCTCTCTTTTGCAACAAGTGACCTGCTAAAACACTGCAGTCAAAACATTGTTTAGTCGGTTGAAATATTCTTTCCACTTGTTTGCCAACGGGCGCCGATCGCCAGCTTAGCACGCTGAAAAGTTGTCAAGCCTTTTAGGTGTGCATTTCCGGTCGATAATTTTTGCTCTCGCGATTTGACTGAGCGCAGTTACGTTTGTAGCGTTAGCTCATACGAGCTGGAAAGTTTAATAGGCTCCTTCAGAGAATCTTCAGTGATCGGATCTCAGTGTCCTTACTTGTCAATCAAATCTCGCCAGGAGCGAGTTTCAAATTTCTACCCTGTGGCTAATTTTAGGGAAGATAACTTCGCTATGAAGGGTAAACTTGTGTATGCATGAGTGCATTTTGCCATAAAACACTCTCACGGATGCCCTTGTTGTTTTTTCTTCGAAGGTTCCTGACATTTGCGAGACTGATATCCGTGACACAAGCCCGAGTTAAGCCTCAAAGTTAAAAGTCATCCAAGTCATAGATTTACAGTAAATATGAGACAAAGGGAAGTGTGATGTCCTGGAATCTGGAGCATTGCTTGTTCAATCGGCAAGAGTGGATCCGTTCAATTCTAACTCGTTCGGATTTGAATGCGGTTATTTTAAATCTACGGAAGGTCAGGAAATTTTGAGGCTAGGACTAACATTGCTATAAACTCTGAACGACTATGTCCGCGCGTACAACTCATTTTGACGCCGAAACAGTGAGATCGCTTGTACGAAACGCACCACAGCCGCGTTCGCGCAGCGAAGGAAGATACGACGGCAGCAGAGAAGCTCGAGGAGCTCACAGATCTCGAAGTGGGGCTAATGATGTGGAACCAACGGAAGTGAGTATTTCGCACAAAAAAGCGCACGGGAAGATTAGTGAAAAGGCTCAGTCATTAAAAATCTCCAAAGCTCGCGCTCATGCTGCTTCTACGATCGGCAGCGAGAGCTCACCTCACTCGCTAGATTATGTCTCGTCACCGCAACAACCGGTCTCCAGAAACACTCAAGATTATTCTCCTAAAGCCTCTTCGAATCTTTACGCTAGCATGCATATGGCAGATTCGGAAAGAAAGAAGTTTATGGATAACATTCCGGGGATACCAGTAAATGAGCAGTTGGCTACTCAGCGAGGTGACCGGCCCGGTTGGTCTGCATTTCCGCCCCCTTCGGTTTCAAAGTACGGACAAAATGTTGCTTATTGTACGAGTCTTCCATCTGACTTAAAGTCTCTACCTCGCGACTCGAATAACACCACGGAATTGGTTTTCCACAAATCCTCAGCAAACAGACACACTAAAGGATTGCGGTTAAAAGGCCACGCAGAAACAGAAATGCAATGGAATGTGACCCAAGAAAATAATTTTCGTCTTCGCGACGAACAACGTAACAGGTCCGCGTCTAGTGACTACCATTACTCGCGAACGCGAGGAAGGCGCAGTAAAGATGGCGTCAACGTTGTTTACAACGACGTCAAATTTTCCGGGCCGAATCGGCAAAATGTTTCACGGCGATCGACATCTACTTCGTCCTACTCGGAGTCGCCGACGGACAGTCAAGGCTCGTCAACGGAGTCGGAAAGTTTTAGCTCCTCTGATTCCTCACACAAGCGCAGGCGGCGTATAAGGCGAAAGCCGTCAAATAAGTCGATTGGTTCAAGTATTTATGGGGAGGATAACACCAGTGAATCGGAAAATCAGAGCGTTAGTGAACCCTCCGCTTCTGATAATATGTATTCTCATAATAAACGCAAGAGTAAATTTGCGCCTGAAGAACTGGCCAGTCTGGGGCCTCTTGTAACATACAAGGATCATCGAAATACCACTAACAGGCTTAGGTCAAGTAGTTTGACTTCTGTGAGTTCTTTGGAAGGGGCAGGGATATCCACAGATGCTGCTGCTTCTAGAAATGAATCTTCATTGATCTCTCCCACTGGCACTCGCATTGCAAAAGTGAAAAAAATCCAAATACGATCGTTTACATCGTTTGCTGATAGTCAATTGAACAATAAAGAAAATCTTCCGCAGAGAAGGAGGTCTTCTGAAGAAAGGGAGCCTCTTAAAATTAGGGGCAGAGCTGAGACGGCTCCAAGAGACATTCCAAGGACCTCGTTACCAAGGCAAGGCTCAGAGTCACCGTCTCTATCAAGAAGCCCTTTTAGTCTCAAATCAAAAGCCCTTGTTCGGAAGACAAGTAGAGAATCACAGTTCAGTGATAGTGAATGTAATCTTAGTCCTGATAAAGGGAATGAGAAGAAAAGTTTGGACACTACAGTTGAAAAGGAACAGGTTACACGGTGCAACTCTGCCCCACCTGATCCATTACCTTCAGACAGCAGGGAACCCAGGCTGCATCAAAGCCTTCTATCTGACAACAGCATGCTACTCACTTCACGGAGTGCATTTGTTCCAGTAAAACCCACAAAAAGAGCTAATGATCTTGAACCTAACCCGTCCATCATAGATCCTGTTTCATTTGCAGCTGCCGATTCCAGGCTTGGCAAAGTAGCTTCATCAGCAGGAGAGGATACTTTATTACGGCCTGTTGCAAGGATTGGAAATCGTCCATTGTCTATTGTGCAGGAAACAGATGAGTTTTCTGAGATTGTACAACAAGATGTTACCTATAAAAATGAAAGTCTAGTAGTTAGGAGTTCACAAGAGCTCAAGGGCACACCGCCCTGTATGGACGAGAACACCTCGATTTCAACCCTTCGGAGACTGTCATATGTGAGAGCGCAGACAAACTCAGCTGATCTTCCTGTCCACTTGTCTGATTTATCACCGGTTCAGATGCGAGGCCTTAATTCCGGTTCTGATTCACCTACATCACTTTCACCTTTGTTTGCTCAGGATCTTCAATCAAGCAGGTACATTTCAGAAGCTGCTAATGAGACCAAAAAAGTACTAAAAGAGTTTGATCCACTGACCTCAAATGAAATACTAAGAACAGTAACTGAGGGGGATTTGATTAGCTTTGATGACGAGAACGGAGACGTTAAAGAACCAGTTAAAAAGCGAATAAAGCGGATTACTCGTCCTAAAATACCAACAATTCTTGGTGGCGAAGATGCTGACAATTCAATAGACATGGAAAGTTTTGAAGCATCCACTGGTCTTCCTGGGGCAAGTAATGTTTCTTTCAGTAAAGGTAAGTTAAACAATAATGTTTTTTAGTTGTTTCTTCCCAAAGCCAAGGATTAGCAAAATAAACCTCCATGCTGTTTTTCATGACAGAATGGGTGGCTTAAGTATGGAAAGTTTTGTGCATTTCTTTGGCTAAACCAATGACTGGGTAACCTGTGGAATCTCAGTTTTAAATAAGATTAAGTGAAGTGAATTTAATATAAAATGCATATTTAAAAGGTGCTCAGTCATTAGCAATATTTTGCTACATACAAAATTGCCGTGCAGTCGAAAGGAACCTTAAAAATTGGTCTGCTAAAACAGAACACCGGGGGAGCTAGGTAATTTTGGCCTATAGGGAATTAAGGATAAACCAATATATTATTACAACCCTGGCACTACAGTAAAATGATTCTTTTCCTCAGAGTCAGTGACACATCCTTTAAGGAACAATTTTATCTTGGAGTTTTGAATGATACTCACAACCCCAAGGCCATTCACTTTCCTGAATAAATATGAAAGCCCAAAATGACTTCTGAGTGAAAGCTTCATGTAAATTATCCTTAACAAATCAAAAACAATTTTCCATGGTCCGTACTCTCAAACTCGACCTTGGAAATGACATCAAAATATTCAAAACTCAAGTGGACCACAAGCTGCAGGCAAGTGGTTTCACTGCAAAATTTTTGAACATTTTGATCTCATTTCTGTGATCGAGTATAAACCGTGGGAAATTGTGTTCAATTTGTTTCTTATGATAATGTTGACAGTTATTGACCTTCATTTCCATTGAAGTTTCTTGAAAATGGTACACACAGGAAAGAGAAAATCAAATTGTGCCATCATCACACCATTTTCATAGTCGGTTCTCTGAATGACTATAGCTCTCAACCAATCAGCATACGAGAAATTATTGTAAAATTCGATTTTTCCTATTGTATGTTTATGTCATTATTAGATCAGGAATCACTAATTGCGTTATTCTTTGCGCTACCACTCTTCGATAAAAGGAGAGTGTTCCCATTTGGAAATTGTGGTGCCATTATAAGTGCATAAGTCCCGTCATCATAGACAACCCAACACAGCAGCATAAAAAACTCTTGAGAAAAAAATTTACAGTGGAAACTGGTTTCAATTCACATTTTTTTTCTTCATGGCTTTAACATTTGAACCCTCCCTCTTTCTGGCTACCTATCTACCCTATGTTGTTGTTAGAATTTGTATTCCATTTTGATTCTGTTAATAAGTGAATGCCAAAAACAACCTTATGATTTCTTTTTCATTACTGTTCAAACCCAGACAAGTTTAAGCAACAACATGTGTATGCATGGTGAAAACTAAGATGAGGCACTGAAATAAATTCTAATTCAATATAAATAGTTCCCCTTTTATGTAAATAAAAACAGATGTTTTTTTAGCTAAAGAGGAAGTCGTTCATGTGAAATATACCGAGTATGCAAACAAACTAGGCCTATCTAAATAGCTGTCTAAGTGCTGTACCCATTTCACCAAATTTCAGTTGACGTTTTGTACCATTCCAAACAATGAACTCTGTTTTTTTCTATTAATTGCCTTTTGTTTAAGCAGCTTCTCTGATTTCCCTACAAACATCTTAGCATATTTAAATTTTCTTGATCTACATTCTAAAGTCATAACTCTTTTTATGCAAAGAGTAGGATGTGCTTTGTAAACTGTTTGACACCCTCTCAATTGCATTTTAGCCAAAAACACATTTTTAATTCATTTTTAACAGACATGCATATAGCATGTGAAGCATTTAACTTATGTTTGAATTCAGTTTGCTTATTGTGCTACTAGATAAGCCTAGACTAATGACATAAATTAATTTGCATTAAACATCAAGTGTTGATGTCTTGTTGGTTGAAATAAATTGCATTTAAATGGTGTCCTCAGACAAAGTGCCGCTTTCAAGTTAGTGTTTTTCAGAATGGTTTTTAACTTCCATAAGCCTCTGAGAAACTAATACAAACAATTTTAGTGAAAAAGTCATTATTTTCATTTATCCAGTATGCTGTTTACTTCACTGATGACTTAGTTATTTAATGAGGTATTTCTTGTCTTTCATATGCCTTGGGTTCAGTTTGCTCAAGAGTCCAACCTTCCCTTTATTTTATACAGGTTTGCTGTGTTTATAACTTAAGTTAGCTGAATGGAACTGCAGATATTTTTTAATGTCTACTGTGGGGTTAAATTCTTGCAAGAATATAATGTTGGGGAAATTCATCCTCACTTTGTACCTTGAACAAAGGGTGTCAGGATCTTAATACCTTTAAGGTGAAATACATGCACTAAACACTTGTTGTAAGAGGTGCATATGAAATGCTTTTTCAAACTACACAATCCAAAAAAGTACATTTTGAGCTTTAAACTTAGTATTAGATGTCAATGTGTTTTTACTCATCTTATGCTCACTATTTTTGTGATTGCTAAATAGACATCTCAGGAATGTTTGATGGACCAAACAGAGACACCATTATTGCACATGATAGTGAAGAGGAAAGCACCCCAAGAGCAGCTTCGGATGCCGAGGACAATCAAACTGCGGAATCACATTTTAATGGCAGTGACGTCAACAAAAAGCAAACTGATTCGGTGTTTGATGCTCAAGGCGACAGCATGGAAGACATCAATCAAAGACCAAAACCCAGGAAAAAACTTCAGAAAAGAGCCTCTTTGCCTGTGATTAGAACAGAATTTTACCAAGAAGAGGCTACGAATAATGACGAGGCACCATCATCAGAGGAAATTCCTAAGTCACCATCATTACGAAAGGCAGAAACCATCAATGATCTTTCCTTAGAGCAGGTTGCACACCATCTCAAGGTTGATTCATTGCGGGGAATTGATACTGAGCCAGGCAAAGACTTTTTATTACTGGATGATAAGAGTTTAGAGAGCTGTAGCCCTCCGCCAGGGGCAACACCATCACCCAGTCCTAGTCAAATGAATTTTGATGCGCTCTCATTAACAACAAGTGGTTTTAGTGAAACCCATTCTGAGGAAGTGAGTACTGGGGATCTTAATGTTGGATATGATCTTTTACAAATGGACTCCACTGTTAACAATAAATCTGTTGATGATGCATGGAGGTCTCAGAGTGACCCTAGTCATGGTATTCAGTTAGAGAACACAATGGCTGAGTTACAGGCTCATCGCAATAGCAACAGTGAACCAAACTTGAATGGAGAAAAATTGAAGGAGGAATCTGAACAGTTGGCCAAGAGAGTAAATGGTGGGAATCAAGTGGCACCCAATAGAAAAACCCATGGGATAAAGGAGGACGAGGATGAAGATGACGTTGATGATAATGATGATGACAAAGACAACTCGCTAGCTGACTTGAGTCCAGATGATGGATGCTATGAACTGGACAAACCTGACATTAAGAGGAAGCCTTTGCATAGGGCAAAATCTGCCCCTACACCAACCACACCGTCATCGCCCAGAACTCAGAGAATAGCCAATTCTTTTGCTGTGGAAAAAGCTCAAGCTAAACTCAACAAACTTGCAGCGATGGAGACAATAATGGAACTGCCAAATGCAGAACCCTCAGTTCAGATCCCAGAAAAACCCAAAGTTGAGAAGGCAAAGCGAAGCTCGTCAGTGGAAGGGGGTATCACTTCACCAACAGCAAGTGAGGGTACATGTGCTAAAGAAGACAAGAGGAGGCTTTCTATATCCAAGGAGCCTGGAAAGAGTCAAAAGTCAAAACATGTAAGTACTTTATTGAAACCTGCAGTGTCTATAGCACATACACCTACGTCCAAGGCTGTCATTAAGGGCCAGGGGCAAGGGATTTTCCCAGCTTTTATGATTGTGACCTCCACCTACTTTTGTAGGAAAATAGACGAAAAATAGAACCAAACAAAATCCCTAGTTGTTGGATTCCCCGTCTACTTGTATCATTAGCCTGGCAACTTGAAATTTTAATGACAGCCCTGCACGTCACAGCATTTTTACATAACGGTGTATTTTTTGTTGTGTTTTAATACCTCTCGCTATGAACTGGAAGCTCTGCATTGCATAAGTCCAGAGCTATCCCAGTTTTAGAGACTGTATTATTTTCTGCTCTACATATTTTGCTAAGCGTATTGTGGACTACACTCGCAGCAAAATCATTCTTAAAATAACCTGGTTTGTAGAAGGGCTGTGACTCATGCAGGACAAAATAACGTAGTTGAAAACTCCAGAAACAGTATAGGGGCACCTACAGTTTAAATTTGGTCAGCTCTTTGTTGGCTTAATAATTTACAATAACTTTCTCTTGTACTTTCAGCAAATTGAAACATGCTTGGTGATTCAATTTATTCTGATTTTGAAATAGTTAGAATTGCTTGTTTGTATATGTTGTGGTCAATTTAGTTGTTGCCATGTCAACTGGGTGACTCAAATACTATGAATGCCAGTTATTCTGAAGAAATCAAAGCATTACTGTACTTTTCAAGCCAATGCAGTTATTTTTTTTTAGGGATCCACAAATGTTCTTTTATAACCACAGCTCAATGAAATCTTTCCATAAACTAACTAAAGGCCCTTTTGTATGTTAAGGTATTCCAAACAATTATATCATTGTCTATTTAAATGTACATTTTACTCCTTTGTTATGAAACAAGATTAACTGATAACAAAAGCTCTTGAGAGATTGAAACCCCTAATCTTGCAAGGGTTGAAAACATGACATTGTCACTCTTTGTACAAGACATGATGCCTGATTAATTAATTTGGTTGCATTCTCGTGATTGTAATATTGGAATAATTTGTGGGTGACATTCAATCCAATTCAAAATAGCTTAACTTCTGTGGAATTACATATGTTGTAAAAGTACAGGTAATTTCAGTCTGTATCTCCTCCCAATCAGAGGGATTTTTATGGAAAACTTTAACAATGATCGAACACCATACAAAACAAAAAGGAGTAGTTGAAGTTTATTGACTTTCAAAATGTCCTTCCTTTCATGTCTTAAGCTTGCTTGATAAAAATATTTATATTATATTTTTTGCACAGCTCTTTACAATGCAAGCCAGGGGGTAAAGATCAACAATAGGCACTCAAGCATGTAATATAACAGTTCATAGAAGACAGAATAGAGAAATCAGTACTCAAAAACACAGATTACATGTAATTAGAAATACCATTTACTTTGCACATCTCAATTAACCAGTTAATGGGGCAAATTAAAATATCACCAGCCATTAAAGAAGACTGAGTTAAACAGAGATGAAAATGATGGGGTCTTAGTCTATAATTTTGGTTGGAGTTGATGGCTGACTCTGTTTGTTGTGGCTTGATTATGTTTGTATGCTACAACGAAGTCCACCCTTTGGAGTCACTAGGACATTGCACACAGCTTAAGTTTTGATTGATGGTGTTTCCTGTCTGTGGTTAGAGTCTTTGTTCTCAGTAAACAATACTGTTAACATCATAAAAATTTTATATTCTGATGTGCTTCAAAGTCAAGTAGACTCTTATTGACTGATGCAGCTTATGAACAGTGCTTTAGAGAATGATGTGATAAAATGCTCCAAACTTAAGAAACTGTACAGTGAAACATCATTTAAGGATTGTCAATCACATGCTTGAAAATATTACTGCAATTTCATCATAAACGTATAACATCTGAATTACTGGTGCAATGGAGCATAAATGATTCATGTTTTCAGATGCTGTTCTTTCAAGATTTGCTTTGATCAGAACATGAAGTGTGAAGTTTCAGCGGACTTTTCATAAACACCTTATAAACACTCCAACAGAAGCCTAGCAAAAGTACATAATTTTATAAACAGGAAATTGTATATTTGTTTATTTAAGTTCATTAGACCAGCAAGTAGCAAAAGTGTTAAGAGCCAATTTGTGGTTAGAATTTATTGAAGCCACGTTCCAAGGTCAAGCTGATTACTCTTAATAATCAACCAGGCTGTTCCAAAAACAAACATATTTTGCCTTGAAACCAGCACTTCCTACAGGAAAATAGTGTGTTTAGAACTGAAAATATAATTCTTTGTGGGTTATATTTATTTACATAACTTAGCCACTCTGATAAGCTTGGCATTAAGTCTTTTACAAACAGGTGGTGTAAGTTGATATTCCATATACATGTAGACCATTTACAGTGTAAGAACCCCCCGGTCTAAGGTACCCCAAGGATGTCCTCAACAAGAGATGCCCCAGGAATTCAAATAATAAAGAAAAATTTTATTAGAGCATTCTGCAAATGAAATGGACTGATGGCACACATATTTTATTAATAAATTCATATTTTTTGTTCTCAAACCGTCTTGAAGTTAATGATCATAAAGGATTTGGTACATTTTTTTGTTGCATATTGTTATCTACACTGTATCTGTTAACTGTTCCCGTTACTTAATTATTATATGTATATCAGAAGTCTTGTTGGTTATGAATAAATGAGTACAGAATGGTAGATAATCTGATACAACTGCTATTGCTTTGTGTTTCCATAGGATCTCAGGGCTCATGTGTTGAAAAATTTGCTGGATACAGAATCGTCTTACGTGCAGAATCTTCAGTTTCTTGTATCGGTAGGTTTTCATGTTGTTTTATGCTCCTGTAATATGTATTTATGATAATGAATAATTCATAATTTATGGGTGTGAATAATAATGAAGCTGCATCGACATAATTATCATAATTCATTATAAAGTGCCTTTGGGTCTTGGAAACCAAATACTCCATGACACATTTCAAAAAATGCCACACTTTACTAAGTTAGTATTGAGGCAGTTTACAATTCTAAGAAATGAAAGCAACAGTTATTAAACAGTTCTCCATGTCTTTGCTACTGCTCATGTGTATGTTTTACAGGAGGTGGGAAGGAGATTTAATTAAATGACTCAAGTTATAAGATACGCTGGCCATGAGGTTTTGAATTTAAAGTAGAGGATCAATTGAGTACATGAGTAGATCAGTACTTAAGATTATGAGATTAAAAGATATAAAGACTTACTTTTGAAATAGATATTATCAAGTAAAATGATTTTCTAAACATCTACTAGCTTTTTAATTAAACCTCAAACATAAGTACACAATTACAATTTGCAAGGTGTCAAGTGGAAAGAAAGCTGCTTCTTTGACATAATCCACTGTCTGAAAGTGTCAGATTTCTGTTAATGAACATTGTGTACTGTTATTTGAAACTTGGAAATATGTGATGCAGCCCTTACTTGAGAAATTTATATAGAAAATGTTGGGAGCATTCTATAAAATGAAATCAATAATACTGTAGAATAGGACTATTTTGCATTGTTCTATTGGTGGCTACATTGTATCTTGAATATTATACTTTTTTGTGTAGTGGACAATTTTAGAGGGCATGTATTAACAATGACACTATTCTTTATTGTCTACACTGGTTTCATCTAAAATGAGGTAGTTTATATGCATTTATTAATTGCTTTTAAGTGTAGGTAATAGATCTCTAATTCTTGCAATTTCTGAATACTCAAACAACTGAATATAAAATTAGGGTTAGAATTGTAAATTTCGCTTGCCAGTGCCTGAAGACCTACGAAGTAAATGTGCTTATGAATAGGATTAAGCATTGTTAAAAATTGATGGAATGAAGCATTATTTCAGAGAGAAACTTGTGTTTTCATGCACATGTGAATTATGACTCAATCATCAAAACATGTATGACACTGATTGCAGGGTTAGAGCCTACTAAAATGTTAAGAATTCGGTAAATTGGGAAACACTTAAGAGCTTGAAATAGAGAAGTATTGTGTTGCAAATAGGTGACAAAAGAAAAACACAATAAGATTTAAAACAAATAAATAAGGCTCTCTTTAGGGTAAATTGTCATGCTTTGGCTTCCCTTTAAAAAAGCCACTTCCTACACAACATGGATCAGCAACCATAATACTCTTTTAACTCCTACTATGTATTGTTCGGGTCCTTTTTTAATTAATTAGCCCTGCTTGGTTTCCATGCCCAAGTAAAATAAACATGTCGTTTCAGCACACACACAGTTGGTAATTTTGTTTCCCTTAGCAGAAAGTAGACTTTTTGTTTGATTGTCTCCGACATGTTTTCATTTCCTGTTTACTTTACGGTCCACTTCTAAATTCCTTCTATATTATTTTTTTGTTATTCAAGGCAAATTTCCTCTTCCTTTTGCTTTCTAGTTTTGGAAACTATCTTTAAGAGGAGGAAATGTTATGCAATTTTAATGTAACTCCAATGAATTTGTGGTTGTTTTGTGGCTGTTTAAGTGAAACTTAAATCTGGCAATACTTTTGCATGGAGCTACTTGGTTACCAGTTTTAAGTCAAATGAAAATGTGCCTTTTCTTGAACTTTGAACAAGGAGTGAAAGACAAAGCAAACAAGGAAATGGCATCACAGCAGACTTATGTGCTAAGTACATGAAACATTGTTAAACAAGATAATGAGTAGAAGAGACCAAGCAAGTTTAAGCAAGTGGTTTTAGTCTTGCTTGTGCAGAAAGTTTTGTTAAAAACTGCTTCAAAAATTTTACCATGGATCTCTAGACCGATCCTTGAGTATGTATTGGAGTAGTTTATCTATGAAAATCACACTTAAAAACCCAACAAAACTTTTATAAGCCTCATGTGAGAATGAATAATGGCAAGCAGATAATTTTTTTTTAAGGCACTCAGTCATTGAAAACCCACTCCATGATACCTAAAAAATTTGAAAAATAATGCTTTTCAAAAAAATATCAAACATTATCGTCTGTCCGAGCAATACTGTTGTTACCGAACATTACCTTTAGATCTGTCTAAACTCACTTCTTCCTAAAACTTGTCTACAGTTATATCTTACTTTTTTCACATCTTTCTTATTTTGCTGTACAGTAAACAATTATTTAAAAAAAACCTTCTTTTTTAAAGTCTGGCAAAATAGGTTCTTTTNCACTTAAGAGCTTGAAATAGAGAAGTATTGTGTTGCAAATAGGTGACAAAAGAAAAACACAATAAGATTTAAAACAAATAAATAAGGCTCTCTTTAGGGTAAATTGTCATGCTTTGGCTTCCCTTTAAAAAGGCCACTTCGTACACAACATGGATCAGCAACCATAATACTCTTTTAACTCCTACTAAGTATTGTTTGGGTCCTTTTTTAATTAATTAGCCCTGCTTGGTTTCCATGCCCAAGTAAAATAAACATGTCGTTTCAGCACACACACAGTTGGTAATTTTGTTTCCCTTAGCAGAAAGAAGACTTTTTGTTTGATTGTCTCCGACATGTTTTCATTTCCTGTTTACTTTACTGTCCACTTCTAAATTCCTTCTATATTATTTTTTTGTTATTCAAGGCAAATTTCCTCATCCTTTTCCTTTCTAGTTTTGGAAACTATCTCTAAGAGGAGGAAATGTTATGCAATTTTAATTAACTTCAATGAATTTGTGGTTGTAATCCTGTTTTGTGGCTATTTAGGTGAAACTTAAATCTGGCAATACTTTTGCACAGAGCTACTTGGTTACCAGTTTTAAGTCAAATGAAAGTGTGCCTTTTTTTTAACTTTGAACAAGGAGTGAAAGATAAAGCAAACAAGGAAATAGCATCACAGCAGACTTATGTGCTAAGTACATGAAGCAGTGTTAAACAAGATAATGAGTAGAAGAGACCAAGCAAGTTTAAGCAAGAAGTTTTAGTCTTGCTTATGCAGAAAGTTTTGTTAAAAACTGCTTCAAAAATTTTACCATGGATCTCTAGACCGATCCTTCAGTATGTATTGGAGTAGTTTATCTATGAAAATCACACTTAAAAACCCAACAAAACTTTTATAAGCCTCATGTGAGAATGAATAATGGCAAGCAGATGAGTTTTTTTAAGGCAATCAGTCATTGAAAGCCCACTCCATGATACCTAAAAAATATGAAAAAGAATACTTTTCAAACAAAAAATCAAACATTATCTTCTGTCCGAGCAATACTCTTGTTACCGAACATTACCTTTAGATCTGTCTAAACTCTTTTCTTCCTAAAACTTGTCTACAGTTGTATCTTACTTTTTTCACATCTTTCTTATTTTGCTGTACAGTAAACAATTGCTAATAAGAACCTACTGTTTTAAAGTCTGGCAAAATAGGTTCTTGTATTTTGGGTTACTTATTGGCAATTTAGGCTAAGTAGGTTCTTAATTTTTTATGAAGGAGATAATAGATTGTTGATTACAAGAAAAAAAATAAACTTTTTATTTATTAACAATATTATTGTATCATTATAACCCTAACAAAACTGATTACCAAGTTAATATTCAGTTTAGTAGAGTATGTTCTTGTTATACTTAAATTTATGATCTCAAAGTTACACTCCTTGGTTAAATTGCTTATCAGAATTTAACTGTAACCAGCATGTAAGAATCTGTTTGATCTTGCTTGGCTAAACAATTTCTTGTATTTTTGGCTATTAAAGTGGCAAATTTCTGCCAGAAGGTTCTTAATTGACAGGTTCTTATTAGCGGGTGTTTACTGTAACTGTTTTTAATTATTTTGTTCTTTTTCACCCTCTTTCTGGTTTCTGGCCTTTATATCAAACAAAACCTACTGTAAAATTCTGAAAATAAGCCCCTCCATGTATAAGCCATCCAAACCGGAAACGCAAGAAACCCTCCGTTTAATCGCCCCTCCAAATATTAGCCCCCCGGGGGCTTGTGCTTGGAAAATTGCCCTCAAATACAAAGTAAAACAAAGCAAAAACGGTACATTTATGTCCAACCATATGGCTAGCCCAATTGATTTTGAAACACAAGATAAGCCCCTCCAAAAATAAGCCCCTCAAAAAGGGCCTTTGAAAAATATAAGCCTGGGGCTTATTTTTGGAATTCTATGGTAATTCGTATTATGAGGGCTAACTAGAAAACCAAAATGGTTTAATCGGCCACAGCACCATATTTCGAAGTTGATGATTAACATCAAATAGAAATGTTTATCACTATAAACAAATAAAAGGCTGTAATTTAATACTAGTTAATCACTTTGAGGAGAATAAATTGAATTGAATTAAACTCTGATTAGGTCTGTGTAATTTTCACTTACTAGAGCTACTACAAAGCACTGAAGAAACAGGAAAATGCAGGGATTGTGGATACTGCACAAGTAGACGAAATGTTTTATCAAATTCCTGAAATTCTTCTCTGCCATGAGTTTTTCCTCCAGCAACTTCAAGCCAGGGTTAATGAATGGCATGACAAGCAAAAGATTGGCGACATCTTTGTTTCCACGGTAACTATTCTAAATATTGATACAACTTGTTTTCGCTTCAAATTTTAACCCTCACTGTTAAATTTCTGTTAATGAAATATCAAGCAGTGATTGTTGCAGAAAAAAAATTGTCTATAATGCTTTATCAAGACTACCCTGCATGGGAGGGTAAAAGGTTGATGGAGGAGTGTCATCTCTTCGTCTCCTATGCATGTCTGTGCCTCCAGCTATCGTAGTTGAATCAAGGCATTTTCTGAAAACAGGCCCCAATTGCAAAACACCATTTACAGTGTGACTACTAGACAAGGTTGACCAATTGCATCACAGGAAAAGAACAATACATTCCAAGAAAGTTAGTTGTCAATCATAATCGAAATAAACAACATAGATCGAAATCAACCAATTGCAACCTACAGACCTGACCTTTTGAACCCACTGAAGAAAGCCCATGTTTCCTGAGAGGTCCATTAGAGTGAATGACGCAGGCAAAAACTGTAAGACTGTTAAATTTTTTACATGAGGTCATTATGTTTTTTGAAATGTGCTGGAATGTAAAAAATGTGAAATGGTAGCAAAGAAATTGCTGGTAGATGACAAAATAACAGCTTCTCTCAAACAAATATGTCTCCTGGGTGTTATATGTAAGGTCCCAAACAGAAACACATTGTAGGGTGAAACATTTGCTTTATTGAAAAATGTTTGCTATCTAAATTTTGTGCTTTGAGTAACTTATTGTTTTATTACAAGCTGATGATTGGCCCAAAACCAACTTTCTTTGAATGTATTGTTAATTTCCTGCAATCTGATTGGTCAACTTTGTCGAAGTGGCCCCAGTTACAGTAGTCGCACTGTAACTTACTAGCTTCATTATTTGTTTTACTAGTTTACCAAGTGTTTCTTAGTGGATGCATACAGTGCCTTCATCAACCACTTCCTACAAGCCCGAGCAGCAGTTAGAGTGGCCACAATGTCCAGACCAGCTTTTGTGCGGTATATGGAGGTACATCAGCATTTTTTCTTTCTGTCATCGCGGTCATCATGCCTTTCTTTTCTCTGCAAGGAGATCAAGGCCTTACTTATTACTATAACTGTAATCACCTGCTTATATAGAGATGAGTCCATGTACAGCTCAGATAGACTATCCCAAAATTAATGATCAGTTCAAGGAAGGTCATGGGCTTTATTCCTATCTGATGAGAATTTCACTTCCCTTGTCTCACACTCAACAGCAATTTATTTCGTAATAAACCTAGTCACTCCTGAAATGTATTGTGAAATTTATAGTAGCTCGCTCATGTTGATGTTAACTTGGCAGTAAGCCATAATCGATCCCTGGTGATTCTCCATAATGCTTTTTATCTTTTCATGAAAACCAAACATTTTAATGTACTGAAACTTACTGCCCAGCACCTCAGTGAAAACGGTAAGTCTTCTGAGAACTAGTTAGTTTAATAAGGGACCTTTACTTAAAATCTAAACTCAACTTACACCTTTGGTAAAAACTTGGCCTCCTATAGTGTGTGTGTTTGGTTGTATCTTTTAGCAATGTTCCCGCGATCATAAAGAAAAGTTAACTCTCCAAGACTTGATGATCATGCCAGTACAAAGAATCCCTCGATATGAACTTATACTGAAGGTAAGGAATCTATGCATGCAAGTTGCCACTAGGGTACTGTGTATTTTTGCGTAATATTGCACAGTGTGTACAATGAAATATGACTTTTGATCAATAGACCAGTTAAGCTTCATCCACATAGGTTATATGACACTGACTTGACAACCTTCACCTTCACAACCTTACTGGGCAAGACTTTACCGTCTTGGGGCTGCAGTGATTTGACTGAATTAACCCTTTCGTGCGCAATCGTACGAATTCGTACGATCGGAAGGGGTCTGCAGAAAAATGGTCAGCGTACATTTGCATGAGTCTTGGGTAGCCTGTGGTGACTTGATCAAGAAAAAGAACAACATGTGCGACATTTTGTGTCTTTATGATCAAGTGTGGTCAAATTTTCGATATTTTATTGACCTCAGCGGCACGCGAACTCAAATAATGGCGACGGAAGACGAAGATCTTTCAGCTTCGGTTATATTTTTGGGGATTTTTCGCGGTAATAGTCGTGTTTTTCGATGAGTTCTTCAGCGAACTACGAGGCTTAAGATTCAAACAGTTGAACTTTTAAGTGTGTGGTGCTGTCGAGGAAAGGTGCTGGATTTATAGGCTTGAAAGGTACCTCGAAGCAAAATTTGTCATTTTACAAAAAAACATATGCAAATAGCGCCATTTTGTATCGACCAGTCAAAGATTTTAGCCATTCTTTCATAGTTTTAACACCGTTTATTTTGCTTTCTTGGTTTCAAAATAAAGCTTGTGTGACATGGGATCGATTTGTCTCACTGGCTTTGATGTATGTTGCTGTGTGGAGTTATCATGCAGTGATAAACTTTATAGGCAACTATTTTGAGACACACTTTTGTCAAGTTTTTATTTTTAAAAAATTCTCAAAAATGGGTTTCTGTTACCGAATGCGGGCTAGCTTCAATTTAATGTATCCCGAAACAGTCTAGGTCAATTTTTGACATCATACTATCAAGATCGATGCCAAGAAATAAATTTTTTGTTGGCAGTATTTTTAGCGGACACTTAAGAGCTTGAAATAGAGAAGTATTGTGTTGCAAATAGGTGACAAAAGAAAAACACAATAAGATTTAAAACAAATAAATAAGGCTCTCTTTAGGGTAAATTGTCATGCTTTGGCTTCCCTTTAAAAAAGCCACTTCCTACACAACATGGATCAGCAACCATAATACTCTTTTAACTCCTACTATGTATTGTTCGGGTCCTTTTTTAATTAATTAGCCCTGCTTGGTTTCCATGCCCAAGTAAAATAAACATGTCGTTTCAGCACACACACAGTTGGTAATTTTGTTTCCCTTAGCAGAAAGTAGACTTTTTGTTTGATTGTCTCCGACATGTTTTCATTTCCTGTTTACTTTACGGTCCACTTCTAAATTCCTTCTATATTATTTTTTTGTTATTCAAGGCAAATTTCCTCTTCCTTTTGCTTTCTAGTTTTGGAAACTATCTTTAAGAGGAGGAAATGTTATGCAATTTTAATGTAACTCCAATGAATTTGTGGTTGTTTTGTGGCTGTTTAAGTGAAACTTAAATCTGGCAATACTTTTGCATGGAGCTACTTGGTTACCAGTTTTAAGTCAAATGAAAATGTGCCTTTTCTTGAACTTTGAACAAGGAGTGAAAGACAAAGCAAACAAGGAAATGGCATCACAGCAGACTTATGTGCTAAGTACATGAAACATTGTTAAACAAGATAATGAGTAGAAGAGACCAAGCAAGTTTAAGCAAGTGGTTTTAGTCTTGCTTGTGCAGAAAGTTTTGTTAAAAACTGCTTCAAAAATTTTACCATGGATCTCTAGACCGATCCTTGAGTATGTATTGGAGTAGTTTATCTATGAAAATCACACTTAAAAACCCAACAAAACTTTTATAAGCCTCATGTGAGAATGAATAATGGCAAGCAGATAATTTTTTTTTAAGGCACTCAGTCATTGAAAACCCACTCCATGATACCTAAAAAATTTGAAAAATAATGCTTTTCAAAAAAATATCAAACATTATCGTCTGTCCGAGCAATACTGTTGTTACCGAACATTACCTTTAGATCTGTCTAAACTCACTTCTTCCTAAAACTTGTCTACAGTTATATCTTACTTTTTTCACATCTTTCTTATTTTGCTGTACAGTAAACAATTATTTAAAAAAAACCTTCTTTTTTAAAGTCTGGCAAAATAGGTTCTTTTATTTTGGGTTACTTATTGGCAATTTAGGCTAAGTAGGTTCTTAATTTTTTATGAAGGAGATAATAGATTGTTGATTACAAGAAAAAAATAAACTTTTTATTTATTAATAATATTATCGATCATTATAACCCTAACAAAACTGATCACCAAGTTTATATTCAGTTTAGTAGAGTATGTTCTTGTTATACTTAAATTTATGATCTCAAAGTTCCACTCCTTGGTTAAATTGTTTATCAGAATTTAACTGTAACCCGCATGTAAGAATCTGCTTGATCTTGCTTGGCTAAACAATTTCTTGTATTTTTGGGTATTGAAGTGGCAAATTTCTGCCAGAAGGTTCTTAATCGACAGGCTCTTATTAGCGGGTGTTTACAGTAACTGTTTTTAATTCGTTCTTTTTCCCCCTCTTTCTGGTTTCTTGCCTTTATATCAAACAAAACCTAATTCGTACTATGGGGGCTAACTATAAAACCAAAATGGTTTAACCAGCCACGGCACCATATTCGAAGTTGAAAATTACTATCAAATAGAAATGTTTATCACTATACACAAATAAAAGGCTGTAATTTAATACTAGTTAATCACTTTGAGGAGAATGAATTGAATTGAATTAAAATCTGATTAGGTCTGTGTACAATAATTTTCACTTACTAGAGCTACTACAAAGCACTGAAGAAACAGGAAAATGCAGGGATTGTGGATACTGCACAAGTAGATGAAATGTTTTATCAAATTCCTGAAATTCTTCTCTGCCATGAGTTTTTCCTCCAGCAACTTCAAGCCAGGGTTAATGAATGGCATGACAAGCAAAAGATTGGCGACATCTTTGTTTCCACGGTAACTATTCTTAATATTGATACAACTTGTTTTCTCTTCAAATTTTAACCCTCACTGTTAGACTTCTGTTAACGAAATATCAAGCAGTGATTGTTGCAGAAAAAAATTGCCTATAATGCTTTATCAAGACTACCCTGCATGGGATGGGTAAAAAATGGATGGAGGAGTGTCATCTCTTTGTATCCTATGCATGTCTATGCCTCCAGCTATCATAGTTGAATCGAAGGCATTTTCTGAAAACCGGCCCAAATTGCAAAACACCATTTACGGTGCAACTGCTAGACAAAGTTGACCAATTGGATCACAGGAAAAGAACAATACATTCCAAGAAAGTTAGTCGTCAATCATAATCGAAATAAACAACATTGATCGAAATCAACCAATTGCAACCTACAGACCTGACCTTTTGAACCTACTGAAGAAAGCCCATGTTTCCTGAGAGGTCCGTTAGAGTAAATGAAGCAGGCAAAAACTGTAAGACTGTTAAATTTTTTACATGAGGTCGTTATGTTTTTGTAATGCGCTGTAATGGTAGCAAAGAAATTTCTGGTAGATGACAAAATAACAGCTTCTCTCAAACAAATGTCTCCTGGGTGTTGTATGTAAAGTCCCGAACAGAAACACATTGTCGGGTGAAACATTTGTTTTATTGAAAAATGTTTGCTATCAATGTCTAAATTTTGTGCTTTGAGTAACTAATTGTTTTATTACAAGCTGCTGATTGGCCCACAACCAACTTTCTTGGAATGTATTGTTAATTTCCTGTAATCTGATTGGTCAACTTTGTCTAAGTGGCCCCAGTTACAGTAGTCGCACTGTAACTTACTAGCTTCATTATTTGTTTTACTAGTTTACCAAGTGTTTCTTAGTGGATGCTTACAGTGCCTTCATCAACCACTTCCTACAAGCCAGAGCAGCAGTTAGAGTGGCCACAATGTCCAGACCAGCTTTTGTGCGGTATATGGAGGTACATCAGCATTTTTTCTTTCTGTCATCGTGGTCATCATGCCTTTCTTTTCTCTGCAAGGAAATGACCGGTTCAAGGAAGGTCATGGGTTTTGTTCCTATCTGATTAGAATTTCACTTCGCTTGTCTCACACTCAACAGCGATTTCCTAATAAACCAAGTGACTCCTGAAATGTATTGTGAAATTTATAGTAGCCCTCTTATGTTGATAATAACTTGGCAATAAGCCTTCATCGATCCCTGGTGATTCTCCATTATGCTTTTTATCTTTTTATGAAAACCAAACATTTTAATGAACTGAAACTTACTGCCCCACGCCTCAGTAAAAGCGGTAAGTCTTCTGAGAACTAGTTAGTTTAATAAGGGACCTTTACTTAAAATCTAAACTCAACTTACACCTTTGGTAAAAACTTGGCCTCCTATAGTGTGTGTGTTTGGTTGTATCTTTTAGCAATGTTCCCGCGATCATAAAGAAAAGTTAACTCTCCAAGACTTGATGATCATGCCAGTACAAAGAATCCCTCGATATGAACTTATACTGAAGGTAAGGAATCTATGCATGCAAGTTGCCACTAGGGTACTGTGTATTTTTGCGTAATATTGAACAGTGTGTACAATGAAATATGACTTTTGATCAATAGACCAGTTAAGCTTCATCCACATAGGTTATATGACACTGACTTGACAACCTTCACCTTCACAACCTTACTGGGCGAGACTTTACCTTCTTGGGGCTGCAGTGATTTGACTGAATTAAGATCAAGGTAGACTCTCAAAGATTGAAGTTTATTCAATTCCTACACCTTTAATTCTAGGACATGATAAAACACACCCCACATGATCACCCTGATCATGGCAGCCTGCAGCTTGCTCTGGGAGAGATCAAGACACTAGCAGACAGAATGAACAGAGGAGAAAAGGAGGTGGATCAGGCTGAGAGGGAAGCTGAGAGACTCCGTGATCTTGAAGCAACAATTGAAGGCATGACTGAGGTATTGTAAGTTATTTTTGTAGCTGTTCTTACCCCGACTACAGTTGAAATACTGAAAGTATGTGTTACTACCCTGGTTCTTTCATCACAGTTGTGGTATAAATTTGATTGAGAAAATATCTCTTGAAAATCATCAACAATAAATGATCCCAAGCACTTTTAAGGAGGAATATTTCAGGGGTGAGCAGTTGTGTAATATTTTTCAACACAAGAAGAGAAATTTCTTATCTTCTAATGGCCATGTTATGTTCTCTGTAATGTTCTATGTTCTACAGGGTTCATACAAAAAATTGCAACCATTTTTAAGGACCTTCCAAGGACTTTTCAAGGACCACATTCGATTTTCAAGGACCACCTACTTTGTGGAAATTCTGGAGCAATGGGTGGGGGTGGGGGTTCATCAGTTCCTTACAAATATGGAAAATCCAGGGAGGTGTGGGGGTCCTAAGTGAAAATCCCTCTGGCGTGGGGTATGGATATTTTCTGGAACCACACATTTATGATTTATATTCCATCTTGGACAACCAAAAAGCATTTAAAACCACTTTCCATGCCACTACATTCAAAGTTGAAGAAAATTCAAGACTTGCACAGAAATTTAAGGACTTTTCAAGGACTACCCCTAAAATTCAAGGTTTTTTCAAGACTGTGCAGACCCTGTGCAATACCAAACCATTTCACCCTTTTTTTAATAGTAAAGGCAGGACCACATGTAACCATAGCAACAGTGTCCTTTTCACATGTGAAGACAACATATTATTTTTACGTGTTGAGATATCATGTTTTGCGGAAAGGCACACCTGGTATGTCATTGGTGTTTTATAATTATAATAATAAAAAAAGTAATGTTAATTTTATCCAGACAACCCCATGCACCTTGCTGTACAAGATATCAGCCTTTTCGAGAAAGGTTTTTGGAAAAAAATGCACACGACAATCCTGAAAGGTATTGTGGGTGGTTTTGAAATTTGAAAGAATGACACGAGAGGCCATAGAAGTATGTTTGCGATTGCTAAAGGAAAGCAACAATAGAAGATTCGACAGCTACAGTGTCAGGAACAGCATATTGATCATCTCCCACATTACCTTTCAGGATTAATGCGTGTGCATTTTTTCTGACAACCTTTCTCGAAATAGCTGTACATGTATGTAAGTACCTGAGTATTAAACAAAAGTTCTTTCGTTGGCAGCTTGTTACTCCTACTCGGCGGTTGATACGGCAAGACTTGGTTGCTGAAGTTGTAAGTACTTGTTAACACATCTACCAATGTTGAAAAAAGAGCCTATACATGAATGAGATAAATAAGATTTTTTCCTCAAATCAGAGCAGTAACAGTTGAGATATAAGCAATAAATTGTAAAACTTCAACGTGTATATAAGCCCATTCTGTTTCTAGTACATCTTACTGGGTCTGTTGGTACCCTTAGCTATATGCGTACGTTGATCAAAGGCCCAACAAAAAGACAAAAACAAAAACAGGGAAAATAAAAGAAAAGAGAAAAGAAAAAGAAAATGTTCTATAAAACTCAAGTTACTGCAGTTCTGCCATTACTTCTTGGCCATATTGCAGTAAATTGATTTTTAAGCATACTCTTGGGCTAACATATGCACTGGTTATTAAATGCTTACCATGAATTTTGTCTGCAACTGCTTTTTTACTTTTTTTTATACATTATAAGGGAAAGGTGGTGGAATTCTCCACTTTATATCAGGAATAGATCCATAAAGGGTCATTTTGTTGATCTTCTTTGTTTNTGCTAAAGGAAAGCAACAATAGAAGATTCGACAGCTACAGTGTCAGGAACAGCATATTGATCATCTCCCACATTACCTTTCAGGATTAATGCGTGTGCATTTTTTCTGACAACCTTTCTCGAAATAGCTGTACATGTATGTAAGTACCTGAGTATTAAACAAAAGTTCTTTCGTTGGCAGCTTGTTACTCCTACTCGGCGGTTGATACGGCAAGACTTGGTTGCTGAAGTTGTAAGTACTTGTTAACACATCTACCAATGTTGAAAAAAGAGCCTATACATGAATGAGATAAATAAGATTTTTTCCTCAAATCAGAGCAGTAACAGTTGAGATATAAGCAATAAATTGTAAAACTTCAACGTGTATATAAGCCCATTCTGTTTCTAGTACATCTTACTGGGTCTGTTGGTACCCTTAGCTATATGCGTACGTTGATCAAAGGCCCAACAAAAAGACAAAAACAAAAACAGGGAAAATAAAAGAAAAGAGAAAAGAAAAAGAAAATGTTCTATAAAACTCAAGTTACTGCAGTTCTGCCATTACTTCTTGGCCATATTGCAGTAAATTGATTTTTAAGCATACTCTTGGGCTAACATATGCACTGGTTATTAAATGCTTACCATGAATTTTGTCTGCAACTGCTTTTTTACTTTTTTTTATACATTATAAGGGAAAGGTGGTGGAATTCTCCACTTTATATCAGGAATAGATCCATAAAGGGTCATTTTGTTGATCTTCTTTGTTTCTTTCAACAGAAAGGAAATATGACTAAGAAAGATCGCTGCCTATTCCTGTTCAACGACATGCTGGCTTGTGCAACTGTTAAGAGAAAGGCTAATGCTCTACGAAGAGGCTCATTAAGCATGTAAGTCCATACACTATCCACAGAGCACTAACTAAATATTCTCTTGATAAACATAACAAAAATCATGTTCTTTGGTTTCTTTGCTAGATTTTCTGGTTCAGGAACAGAGTTTAACAAATACAAACTACTTTGGAGACTTCACCTTGAATATGTGGAAATTTACAAATGTAAGAAGTGCTCTCTTTTGCAAGCTTCCAGACATGTGTGTGTAATACATGGACTAACTTTACACTCTTTTATCCTTTCTGCTTATGTTACCTTAGAAAAACATGCTCATTCTCTCTCAAAAATTGAACAAAAGAATATATAGCTAAACCTCCATATGCAACCACCCCTAGTTGGCAACCACCTATTCAAAAACCCTAAAATTTTCCTGGTCAAATCACTGCACTAATTTTGAGACCTTCCCTAAATGACCACCTCTTGTAAGTGACGGCATCCACCTTTTGGATGATGGTTTTAAAATTTTCCATTGTTTTTATCCTCTTGTAAGTGGCCACTGGAGGCATGATTTAAATTTCTTTGTTTGCTGTATGTACTTCACTTATCAGACTGTGCCAAAAACTTTTGCGACAACGTGAAACTACACATATTGTCAATATTAGAAATTGCAAGCAATGAATTCTTTTCTGAGATGTAGATGTGTGCGGTTCCCTTCTAGGAGGGGACCCCTTGTGGTTTGATTCATGTAAGTGTCCACTTCCTGTGTAAGGGACCATGAAATCTTTGTATTTTGGGTGGTTGCTTATGGGGGTTTGCCTGAAATTATAATGCCAACAAACAAACTGACCGCGTACCTATAACTCATTGTTATGTCTTGATAATTTTGTTGTATGCAGCATCTCCTGAGGCTCAGAGGCGGAATAGTTTAGAAAAACAGTTGGAGAAGCTTGATAATGACATGTCATCACTCAGCAAGATCAGTGCCTTGGCTGACACTCTTACAATAGGACATGTGGTAAATATAAACTATTGATGTACCTTTTCAGTCTAGCTTATGTTCAAAACAAAAAGACAAATTATTTTTAATAATCATTGCCTCAATGCACAGGTCATGGAAAAACCTGGAAAGTCATGAAAATTAATTTACAAAAATTCAGTTTCCAGGCCTGAATTATGTGTGTTAGATAAGTTACTACAGATGTCAATGCACAGGGTTGTCAATAAGGGCCGGTAGCTGGCCAAAACCGCCGGATAGTTAGCCATCCTTAGCCGGCTACTTTTATCTCCTTCTACATGTTCCATAACTGCTAAATAAAAATTGAGCGCCATCAAATAAAATTATAAAGCACCCGTTTCCCAGTTTTGAATAACATTGAACGCATATTTAAACAGGCTTGGATCTGTGAAATGTTCGAACCGTGCAATATCGTGGAACAGCTGAGACATTTCAATGACATTGTTCCCAGTCTTGCTTGTATTCTGATGAAACAACGGTGGCATCCGCGGTGCAAAATACCTTTTGAAAACCCCTGGAAATGCCATTTCTGAGACTCTAAATTTCAAAATGTCCCTAGACACCTCAGCCCTCAAGAAATTATGCCTTTGGTGTGAGTTCCGCCAACTATTCATTATCAGCCTGCTAATTAAAACCTTTTTGACAGCCCTGATGCAAGGACACTGTCTTGATTGCAGCTAAAAATTTGAAAGCATTCAGACAGCATTCATTTTGGTAAACACCAGAGTTTGTGCCTGTTATGAACGAAGTTAGATAAAAAAATAGCCCAAAACAAGGAAGGTCATGGAAAACTTGAAAAGGTCATTTAAAAGTCATGGAAATTGAAGAGCTCAAAAGAGTATGAACCCTGCAAAATACAAAATGAAATTCAATGCCATTCCCTTGGTTATACATGTAAAAGGCTACACTTAAAAACTTTGCACAAGCCTTTGTACAATTAAATGTTAATGCCATCTTGGCATAATAATGTTATTTTATAATCCTTTAGACCTTAGATGGAGCTATCCGGGAGTTGATGAATGACGTGAACCGACAAATTTCTGAGAAACAAATTCCTCTACAGCCTCCCACATCCACAAAACTTGAACTGCACGCACAAACAGAGTAAGTAATAAAGTGAATTCAAGAGGTATAATTGTTGTCTAGCAGAATTTTCAGATCATGTTCTTCACGTAGGTACATTAATGGGTAAAATTTGCTCTGACCAAGTGAATGAAGCACCCAGCTCTCCAAGCTTCCTAATGTCTTTTCAAACTCAAGTAGTCATTTAAATTTGTCCATAATTTTTTTTATATCAAAATTGTGTGACATTGTTAACATTGTTAACTACTAGTATTCTTTAGGTTATTGAATTTTACTTACAGTAATACATGAGGAAATATCTCACAAATAAATTCTGTGATTGGCAATTTTCCGACTTCAGGAGGACCACCATAAAAACTACTTGGTGACCGCTGATGATGTTTCTTTACCTTTTTACTGTGTTTTTCAAAAACACGCAAACTCTGAAGTTCAAAAGCCGCTTTCACAATTATGTTTTTCACTACCATCAACCATAATTATGATCACGAGCAACGAACCTTGAAACACAAAAACACACACATCAGACCAAAAAAATCGACCAATCACAAATCACAAACCATGACCTTTTGAACCAGCTGAAGTAAACTTCTGTTTCCTAAGAGGTCCACTAAGATGATTGACGGCAGCAAAAAATGCAAATGTCAGTTGGCTTTTCAACTTCAGAATTCACGTGTTTATGAAAAGCATGGTAAATAAAGTTACTATCCTTGTTGTTGTATTCCTGTCACACAGGGAAGGAGAGGAGCTTTTTCAGTTCTTGTTCTTGGAAACAGAAATAAAGAATTCCTGGGAAGCTTATTTTGAAGACGCTAAACAAAAGCTTGGTAAGGGTCTTCTTCAAAGAATTCTTAAGTCAGTCCTTTTCCCATGTTTACTTAAATTTGCTTTTTATCTTTAGCATATGCCAAAGACACTTTTCCTCCTGAGTTTCAATATTGTATTCCTATCAACAAGACTAGAAGTGGAATGCAGGTAGGATTTTGCTGGTCAAACTTCTGCTAATGATAATGTGTAAAAAAATGTAGTAACTGTGGTGCTTAACCTTTTAAGTCCCAATGGTGACCAACATCAATTTTCTCCTAACCATATCCATAGATTGTCCAGAGATTAGGTTATGAGAATTAATAAATTGATCACCTAAGAAAAAATGCCTTGATCTTTTATCAAATTCTCTCAACCCATCCATGAAGGAAATGTACAGAGATCAGTTTGGAGAATTTGTATGTGGATATTGGGGCTTAAAGGGTTAAAATGACCATACCCTATATGGTTGAATTTTGTTTTGTTGTAGAGGCTGTGAAAGGCACAGGCGATATTTTGAAACCTTATCAGTAGTCTCCAATATTTAAACAGCACCAGTATGGCAGGGTGCAAAGAAAGTCAGTTTTACAGCTTATGGCAAGCTGTATCCAGCATGTAGCAGCCCGAAAGTCATTTCAACTAGCCTGAAAAAAAATTGATGAGCAGGACTGATCACAGTTTTTCTGTAATTTGAATTCCCCCCCAAAAAATCACTTGCTGATCGGGCAAGTTAAGAACAGAATTCACTAGCCTGATAGCAAAATCCACGAGCCCCAGGCTATCAGACACCACTTTCTTTGCATGCTGTATGGGCTACTCATAGCCCCTTTTTCTGTGAACAATGAGTACCACTCTAAATTCAAGAGTTCTTCTCTTCTCTCAATTTTAGAAACCGTTCACTTAGTTATTTCACAAGGAAAATTAAAAACAAATGATAAGTTAAGAAATTTTTTTCTGTAATTTAAATAAGAAGTTTTGATCTATAAGAATTTAAAAAATCTTATCCTATGATTTGCTTTTAAGTTTTTTGTAAAATGGAAATCCCAAAGTTAGAGCATCCTGAACTGAGTTCAGAACTTTTAGCCATTTACCTTAACTAAGACATGAATTTTCCATTTTACTTTTAGTTCACTTGTGCTTCACCTTGCCAAGTGCCACACATGCTGGATAGAGGGAACCACTGTGGTTCAGGAGATGTGTGGGTTTGTAATAGCGATGGTTATGTAGGACAAGTGTGCATCCTCAGAATGGGAACTCAAATTCAGGTTAGAGGTGTAATCACTTAAACTTAATATACTGGAAACTCGAGCTTATAACTCCAAATTAAGTAGTGTCTTAAAGTAAATGAAAATTCCAAATTCTTTTTGAAAAATACATTTAAAAAAAATTACCACAGAGAGTACTTGTCAGTACTCAGTAGCTTTCACTCATTTTTTTTGAAATACGGGGAATTTTCCGTCTTCTCCTGTGTCGGACATCGGTGTATATGTTACAGGTCAAATTTAATCTCAAGTTAATTTTGATTTAACTTAGGTTCATTGTCAAATTCCTTTGTCCTTTAGCCCTAGTAAGCAAAGGAAATCAAAAATCATCCTAGGTTAAAAGTTTTTAACCTGCGAACAAATTTGACCTGTAACATACATAAGATAACTTACAGGGTCTCTGGGTGTTTTGCGACTGCCCAGGACGTTTTCTGTCCTTTTAAATTCGTTTTTCCCATCCTTTTAGAACGTTAAAGTTCATATGAAAGAAACTTTCACTTTCTTAACAACAGTAAAAGTTAAATTTCACCAACCTTGAACTTGATCTGTATTTTTTCAGCCATGTGGTTCCATAACAGTTTGTATGTCAAGGATTCTCTGCATCTCTCCCGTCCCCGGAACCAAATTCGTCGGCTTAGAAGCTCTTCAGTCTGAAAGCGAAACCAAATCTGAAACTCAGTCCATCTCCCTGGGAAGCGAAAAGAGCAGCAAAACACACACAAGCACCAAAATTTCTCGCTCCGGATACACCAGCGATGAGGATGTCACAGGAGCTCAAAGCATCATGGCGTTTGACAGCAGCTCCGAAGACGAGGAGGGACTGGGTCAAGAGAGTTTTCTTGGCGGGAAATTCGACGAAAGTTCGCCGTTTCACGTCGACGGCCGACTGAGCCCCGAAGGCAGCAGTCTCGGCACCACCGGAAGTGTGGACGGCTTAGACAGCAGTGGGGAAGAGAATGTGTTTGAATATGAGGAGAATGACTCGAGCTGTGACGAGATGAAGGGAAAAGGGTCTCGGAAGCATTCCAAGCGAAGAATATGTTCGTCTCGTGCTCAGAGCAAAGACAGTTTAGATCTGGTGAATTTTGAAACGGATGAAGCTTGTGCCGTGTGGCTGGGTACAGAGGACGGATAGTAAGTCTTTGGTTTCTATTAAACACATGTTCCTTCCATGATATGTATAAATTTTTTATTACTTCCTTGCCTTGAGAAACTTGTGAAATCTAATGAGATTTTGTTTTCTGTTTTAGTGTTTACATGTACCCTGCTAATGAAGCCCAAACTAAGAAATCAAAGTTAAAAATTCAACATTCTGGGTCGATTCAATGCATCTTGTAAGTATCTGTTGTATTTGTTAACTTGTTTTCGAGTGATTTGACCTTATATTGAAGGCATAATTTCGCCCGTAGTTCACTATGTATTGCCGAGGCTATTTTGAACTAAATACCCAGACAAATGTGGCAGTAAACCAGAGCAATTGAAAGTATCGCATTCCAAAAATATCGAATAAAACTTTGTTGCTGTGAGAGGCAGGGAAAATTGTGCCAGATAAGAGCAGATTACAATGAAAGCTTATCTCTCATTTGTCAGCATTTTACATTTCATTAAAAATATTGTTTCCAACGCGTTCCACAAGTACTCCTTCTCCCTCTCAATAGCCCGTGCTCTTTCACGTATACCTAGCGATAATTTGTTTTCTTACCTGTGATGTTGAATTTTGGTACTCTTTTTCCAGGTATGTCGATAACCAAGTATTTATTTCTTTGTCCACGGGTGACTTGTATGTTTACAGAAGGCAACCAGGTGAGCTTGAAGTACTTTCATTTAAAAGCCCGTTTCATATGTCGTGCTGCTGTCGCGCCGAATCTAATTCATGAATTTTATTATAAATACATTAGGATACATTTTAAAAGTTGGCCAAGCCGGTGGCACGACGTTTGTCTTTCCTGTGCTCATTACTTCCAAGCACATGCTTCGCAGGCTAGCTGGCTTTTAGTATGCTGCCGAGGGAATGTGTACAACATTCTGATGGGTTGAAACCAACTCAACTTTTTTTTGAAGTGGTTTAAAATGGACAAAATTCTAATCCATGTCTGGAAGTCGGTTGGAACCAAACTTAGACCCTGTTTACATGGAGTGGGGGACCCCGGTCTAGTGGGGTTGGTTTCTTTTGTTTCCACGCTCTGCGGGACACAAAACAAAAGAAACCTACCCCACTAGACCGGGGTCCCCCACTCCATGTAAACAGGGTCTAAAACCTGTGTAATAGCCCATGTAAAAAATTCTAACATGACTCTGAGGCTTTCTGGCATTTGCAGTTTTGTCCATTAAGCGCGAAGTCATGTTAGAATTTTAATATATCGAACGTGGACTCAAAATGTCAATTTTTCTGTACCCAGGTTGCGCGTGGGAAGTTGGCAATCCCGTGATGCTTCACATCGGTGAGTCGGCAACAGTCTCCTGTATGACCGCTATACACGGTCGTCTGTGGTGTGGCCTGGGTTGTAATGCGGTCATCGTCAACACAACTACTTTAGAAGTCGAGGTAAGAATCAAGTCACTCTCCAGTGGTCCTTGTCCAAACCTCTCTTAATTCGTAAGAATGCTACTCTGACAACCCTGAATTTTCTTTCCTAGACATCCTTTAACTGCAGCTTGGACAAGGACAGATCCGTTTACCGCATGGCCAGTTCCGGTATGGGGGTGTGGATATCCCTTCAAAGTTCTGCTGCTGTGAGGTTGTTTCACGCCACGCGATACGAGTGTTTAGCGGATGTCGATGTCGCCCCACCAGTCCACAAAATGCTCGCAAGTAAGTCGAAAAACCATTTCAGTTCTGACCGAACAAACCTGGGTACGAGGTGTCTAACTAACCTTCGTTACACTTGATTGGCCTTTAAAATGAAGTCATTACAATTATATAAGAAACATGGTTTACTAACGGTCACGGCTCAAATTTAGTTTCAAACATCATTGATATTTCCTTAGTTTTTTTGTACTTGGAGCAAGAGCTATATATGTACCTTTTTGAAGCCCAGGTGTATAACCGGTACTATAGAACCGCACCAAATTTTAACAAAGTACGGTAAGGATTTATGCATGTTCCGTTTTGAGAGGGCAAGTTGCAAGGGGTAAAGTAATTCTTGTAAAAAATGCAGGTAAAAATTGGCCTGTTGGCAACAAAGCTTTTTAAAAAAAATACGATCCTTTCTTTAGTTTCCGGTTGCGACGAAACAAATACGTATTACTAATGTTTGAAATACGACACTCGTTGTTTTCGTTAGGTTCTGATGCCATCATCCGTCAACACAAGGCGGCTTGTCTGCGTGTCACTGCTCTGCTTGCTTGTAAAGATCTTCTATGGATCGGCACCAGCGCAGGCGTGGTGTTAACTTTACCGCTGCCAACAATTACCGCCAGCACGGCTTCTCTACGAAATTGTCCGTCTGCTACAGCCTCCTTTCATGGACATACTGGGCATGTGCGCTTTCTCACCGCTGTTGAGGTTCCAAAAGAAGGAACACAAGACGGCACCAACGAGAAAGGCTCCGGTACTGCTCCATCCACTACGACTGCACCCCTTGCACCTGGCACTAACAGCGCCCGAGATGTGTTGATCATCAGTGGTGGAGATGGTTACGAAGACTTTAGGTCAAGCTCCGCCAGTGAATCTGCTGGACGAGATGACAGCACAAACCATCTCCTTATTTGGCGCGTATGACGCTGAGGCTAATTGGCAGTCGGACGAATGATCACATTTGAGTTCCAAGCCCTCGGTTCTCAAACAACTGTTCCTAGCGACAAGCTGGCGCCACACTATCACCAGTATCTGATTGGTTTTAAAAACCAAAGCACTTCGCGTTTGTTAGCGAAGAATCTTCGCTTACGAAGTGAACCAAAACCCTTAAAAAACACAGTTAAGATACTTTTCTTTTCTTTTCTTAGGTTTAAAACTGTTCAATCAAACAATGAAATTGTTATCACATTGATTAATTTAGGACGTTGTAATCAACATTTAGCAAATAATTTACAAGTGCCTTTGAAAAAGGATTTAATGCGAAGACTTCAGTAGCTTTCCTTTCAAAAGTCTTTGATAACTACGTCGGCTTCGAGTAAGTATTAGTAAAAAAGTAGCGTATACTTTAAGTGGTATGAAAAGCCTAAACCCGTTTCATGCCAAAATAGAGGTTCCGCATGAGTATTTTAGGTTTATTTGAACGAGAAGAGGTATTTTTAAAAACAGGTAATATTTTTGTCAAATTGTAAATATTAACTATACGGTGTATTTGACACACCGAAGAAGAACGTTTCTAATGAAATGTAAGAGAAGAGAAAAGTAGCGTAGAACCAATGTAGTTGAAGTTGATTATGTATTAATATTATTTTAGCTCTTTTTCTCATAGGAAAAGTAACGTAAAGGTATTTAGATGCCGGCTGTAAATAAAGATGTTGAAGACCACGTGCGCTAGCATATTTCGCTCGCTTTTCTATCCCTATGGAAAATAATTGCGGTACTACTAGTATTCTTACAAATAAAGAGTTACGTCCACTGACCCGAGGCCCTTCAAAATATAGGAAGTAAACTAAGCGTTTAAGGCTTTCATCTACTCATCTGCTACTGAATGTACGTAGGGAAGTAGACTCGGCGAGTGAGATGGGCAGGCTTTACAAGCCACTAACAACTATGAGGGCTGACGGACACAAATGTTCTGCTTGTTTATTCAATGTGGGACTAAAATATTTTGTGTTCATGAAGCTTTCACTGGCAGACAGACTTCACAGGGACATAAATAGCTTTAACTTATTTTCGACGAGTGGTAGAGAGGGGGCTATCCAAACGAGAGGGCATCTTTTTAAGGTGGGGAAATCGAAGGAGGCCTACCACAATCTTTCCTCTTCCATTCCGAAAGTCTGATCTGGCTACGTTGACCCTCAGTTGCAGAAAAGCTAACGCGTGTCTGACATATTAGCCCATTTCAGAGTTCCCAAAACTCTCACTTTCAAAACGAGACTGGGAGCAAAACCTTATCATTTTCATATCAATAGCTTCGCACTTAGCCTCGCTTTGAAACAGAGGCTTGGGACAACTCGACAATGGCCTTTTGCTTATGCCTGGCTTTGACGTCAGCTGTTACGTCCAACGTCAAGATGAACTCAACAAATTAGCGTGCTCCCGATGTATGGGTCTTCATAACTCAAATGGTAGGGGTTTATTTGCAATTGAAGCAATTGCAATAACCACTGCGGCGATCATATCTTCATTTAAAATTTGTTTTTCCGCAGTTCACATCATCTTCAAAAAACTTACGGTCGGACGTCACGGTTCTAACGCAGGACCGTTTAAAGCAGTTACGTCTGAAGTATTTGGTCCCTGGACTCTCAAAGCTTTGGCCGGCCCTCGATCTCCGATCGCTTTGAAATTTGGGAAGACCTTACTTATAATTAAGTTTATTATTATTTTCTGGGGTTATTGGGTGTTATAGGGAAAACCTGGAAACCCCCCTAGAGAAACCCTCGGAGCAGGGAAGAGAATCGAGAAAAAATCCGGCTGGTACAAGAATGAACACCACGCCACAATTTAAGGGATAAAAGTGAGCTCAGGCCTCCTCGCCTTACCGCAGGTCTAATACACTGGCCCTCAGTTGCTATAAGCGATTGCTGTTGGTCACGACATCTTGCATAACTTGTCCAGCCAATCAGAGACTGACCAGTTGTAACTTGTCGCATTCATCAGTTTCCCGCGCTTGGCGCCATACCAACCCTTGATTAGAGACTGGGCCGGTAAATGTTTTCGTTACCATGGTGCTTGTAGATGTTAAGTGCTATCTGGACAAGGATTCTCCGGCACCTGAGATGCTTCATGATCCGAGCGATCTTGGACCACAAATCCTGATACAGATCATCTCATAAGAAACGCACCCTTCATTTAATAGAGATAAGGTGGAAACAAATTATAAGCATCGGCTAACTACAAAACAGATAGCCTGCGTTGCAGCCGACCCATAGACTGCCAGCAGTCTTTTTCTTTAGATTTAGTGAGGGGAGTGCAAGCACGCGCGAGAAACGTTCCTTTCCCGTCTCGCGCCTTCAGTCACGTGCATGGTCATTTACGTGTCTCGCGCGTTTTGCTCGATGGACCAAGAAAAATGAGAACCTGCTAGCGCTTGTAGTCTACCCGGCCAACGTATCGGTATACAGAAGGTTTAGAGTGTCAGTGATGCAGGCTACAAAATAGACAAAAAAGCAAACAAACAAACACAAAAACACAACGAAACAGACAAAGGCATTTACGTCTCTTTTATTGAGCGATGAGTGTAACATGCATAAATTGTAGTAACAAAGAGTAATGGACCACAGCACTACAACTACCAATTGACCCCAAGCTGCCCCTAAACCGCCAGCAGTCGAGTGCAATAAAGACATAATTCTACAACTGAATGATTATCATTCGATTATTAGAGGTTAATGAATCTATCTCACAATAGCTTCAAAAATCAGCATACGATTCTGGGAAATTGCCCACCAAATAAGGCTCGATTTCTGCCGCTCTCTCAAGGGTATTTCCCTGCCCACCGTTTCCTCGCCAATATTTTGCCCTAAGTGGGGAGGGGTAAGTGGTTAGTTTCCCAGAATCGTGTGTTTCTCGCAGTCTCAAATTTGCACGAAACAGCTTGTCTAAAAAACACACTTCGTCTCCCTTTCTAACAAATACACGCTAAAGCTTGGTCGAAACCCTCTTCTTACAATGTCTTTCGTCATAACCTCCCCCCTCTTCCTTTTTGTTACATACGATGTAAACTGAAGCTAAGTGAAAAGGTAGATTTTATAATCAAATTTTTGTTATTAACAGTTACGTTGTTAAATCACTTCTACGGAGAAGATTGTCTACGGAAGATCTGGGCATGTGCAAACAACGTGATATGCACGTGATGAAGAAGTGTCATGCACTACTAAAAAAGCGTGACACAGTTAAAACACGTGACGTTTTTTCTAACTATTTACAAATCTACTGCAATATATTACCCTCCGAACTGTTTTTTGTATATTTAAGCCATAATTTCACAGGTTTTTTAATTCCTTCGAGGAATGATAAGAGGAGTTCCAGGAGAAAAAATCAGATCTATGAGTACCATATACTGGCAAATCATGTGAAAAGATGACGGAACCTAAGGATATCCATAAATACAATTAAATTTAAAACAATGAATCAACCTGAGGTTATCCAATGTGGACGCAAACTTAGACTTTGAGCAGGGCTTCCTGAACAGGAAACGACCACAACAGTGGTGTAACTGAGAGGAAAAAGACGTGTGGAATCGTAACGACTTCCGAATTTCAGCGCAAACAGTTCATACTTTCGTGGGAAAGCACTGCTCATAGTCTCTAGTAAATAATCTTTGCTTTGATAGTGATATATGTGTGAATAAATTAACTCTACATCTTATTCCATCTTTATTTATCTAGCACTAAAATCTTCCTTCTGGGCCAATGACTTGTGAATTAAACGTTTGTGTGTTCGGTGAAGACGGGGGGAACTCCCTCCTATAAGAAAAACAGAAAAGCATAATATTATGGAGGGTGTTGAAACAAGTTTCCTTTAATTGAACCCTTGAGAAGGAAAGGGATTTGCCTGCCTTAACCCTTTAAGCCCAAACATCCACATACAAATTCTCCAAACTGATCTCTACACATTTCCATAAAGAATAAGTGGAGAGAGTTTGGTTGAAGATCAAAGCATTTTCCCTTAAAAGATTATTGTATTAACTCTCACAACCTTTTCTCTTGATTGCGCATGGATATTGTTAGGAGAAAATTGATGTTGGTCACTTTTGGGACTTGAAAGGTTATTAAAGAGGCTGTGTCACGGTTGTCTGGTTCATTTTGTTTACAATGCCCGAATCATTCGTCCTTTTTCGCTATGGAACTTGAGAAATTTCTTGTAAATGGCAAAATAAAAAACAAATATGCCTTCCAAGTAGTATATCAAACGTTGCAAACAAAAAAAATTGTTCGGCTAACAAGTTTTCAAAAGGCATAATGAAAAAAACGTTTCAATCTTCGACAAGTTTTGTCTATCCGTTTCTCTCTTGTATTTGCTGTGTTATTCATACACTCTTTCCATGTCCTGAGCAGTTATTTTTTTGTGTTTGTTTTTCCTAGTTTGCTGGCAGTTCTCACCCACGACTGTTTGAATTTTGAAGAAATTTCGTGACACAACTTCTTAATTTCATGGATAAATACTTCGAAAATAATCGTTATTATTCAAAACTGAAAAAAAAATTACAGGTGCTAAATCTTACAAGGCATGTTATGATTCGCATTTTATGATCGTTAAAACTCACCGTCCTGACAGAAGCTGCAGAGGCCTGGGACGTTCGCGACGGGGATCCGCGGCTCGATTTGGCGGTGGGAGCTCGGGAACCAGCAGGGCTCGCATCGCCTCGGTTCATAGACGCCTCACTATCCCAGCGTTCCAGCTCCTCTCGGACAAGTTTCTCCATCTGGTCTCGTTTCAAGTCTCTCTCCCCGTGTTCACCTCGGCCGTTCTGTTGAAGAAAACAGAAGCGTCACCTCAGGCGTGAAAGAACAGTTCCAGAGACTACGCTCTATCTGTATTTAATTAAGTTTCAAGTTAGGATTGGAAAAAACAAGGTTTATCTGAATATGAAAACACAATTGTTTTTTTTGTCTAAAATTTGTGCATGTGCTAACTCACATCAGCAATGGAGTCGAGTAGTTTAGCCATGGTCTCTCGTCGCTTCAGTTTGGCCTTCTCCATGGCCTCCAGTTTGACAAGCACAGCATCGATCTTGGAAACGATGCTTCCGATGGAGTGTTCCATTCGGTCCACGCGGCGACTGAGGCTGAAAAGTAAACGAAATGTGTTAACCTTTTATTCTATTTCAGTGTAAAATCCATCTTTAAAAAATGCTAACCGAAAGTCGGTGAATTGCGTCACAGGAAAGTACAGAAAAGCGGGCTAAGTTATGTCTCCAACGCAGTTTTCTCACAAAGCGCTTTTGCCCATTAAAGCCCGTTGAGTGACTATCCACAAAAAGACTGCATAGGAAGCTGGAAAAACTTTGAAGTTTGCTGGTTTAAAGAGTTGCATTCACATAAACACGGCAAGGGTTGGACGGGGTAACTTATGGATTCTAGGGTGACAAGTCAGTGTCATGCGTGGACTAAACAACAGAGTTAACAAAATACGTCCACCAAAGTCCACCTTCACAACTATCACAATTTACAATACTACACAATGAGATCAAAAAGCGACTTTGATTGGTGCGATTACTGCGTTAGCTTCTAACCGTTATTTAGAGTGGTTTTCGTTTGAGTGTCGTAAAACCAAAACCAAAGTAATTACTCTGGCCAATCACATAGGACACAGACAATACATTGAACCAATCAAAACTCGAAGTAATTACATGTCGCTGACGCAAAAGCGCGGGAAAATG